GGAACGAGGGCACCTGCTTCTTTTCAAGGAGGCTCTCTGGTGAGGCCCACGCAGATGGCAGGGCCTGGCGTTCGCGGTTGTCAGGGGCTGCTGGTTCTTGGACCCGGTTCACTGAGAGCTGGGTGAGAGGCCAAGTGCAGGCCTGGCAACGCTCCCAGCCTCCCCGTGAAGCTGGGGATTGGCAGCGCCTTCGCACGCACAGCGAACAGTGCCGCCCTTCGGAGAACGCACAGGTGCGGGTACACCAGGCTTGGGGAGGAAAAAGAGAGGATACGCCTACACTCTCGTGCCTGTATCATGAAAATCATGCTGACATCTTGAGGCTAGAGCTTTGAAAAAAAAAAATTGGAGATGCATTTAACAGAAGATCTACGTCTAGGAAAAAGGTGAGAGTGCAATGATTAGTAGTAGAAAATGGGTGCGAAGCCAAAGCTGGGTTTGGCTCAGTGGTAGAGCATCTGTCTGCGGACTGAAAGGTCCCGGGTTCGATTCCGGTCAAGGGCATGTACATTGGTTGCGGGCACATCCCCAGAAGGGGATGTGCAAGAGGCAGCTGATTGATGGCTCTCTCTCATCAATGTTTCTAACTCTCTATCTCTCTCTCTTCCTCTCTGTGAAAAATCAATAAAATATATTTAAAAAAAAGAAAAGAAAATGGGTGTGAAAGGCTGCAGTAGCTAAACACATGTATGCAAAAGTATAGACATGCTTAGCTTTGGTGGTTACAGGAGTCCTTTGAAATCATCAAATTTTTATTGTGCAGCTGCCAGGCGGTCCTTCAGCTGCATTGGGCCTGCAGAAGCCACCAAGGCTGCAAGAATCCCTGAGTTATCAGGGATTCTAGCCACAGCCCCTGCTGGGAGCTGTCAGAGCCAGTGTTGATGGGACAGAGGGCCCCAGTACTGCTTTTGGCTCTGAGGCTTGTGGGTTTTCAGGGGAGAGTAGACACTCATGGAGAATGGTGATGTTGTAACACTTAGGGTGTGCGGTAGCAATTTGTGGACTGTGGCTCCACAAATCCACGAGCGTTGGAAATATCCATTTCTTCTAGTTAAAGTGAAAGTTTTAATTAATTTTTTAGTAAATGTGAAGATGAAAGCTGGCTCCCCCATCTCCGTCTGCAGATAAGTTTATTCTAAGCTCTCACTGGTGCATTTCCCTCAACACTACCACCACCGCCACCAGAGGCTGCACACCAACCCGGGAGGCCGCTCTGGTGCCTAGAAAAGGGCCAGGCCTCCCTGGTCTTCTCCTTCTGAGATTTCTGCCCACAGCCGACAGACCATGTGTGTGCAGGCACTGAAGGCTTTGCAAACACAGTGTTCCTTGGACACGTGACGCTGTGGAACCGTGGCCCTGGGTCGGTCCCTTGGGAGAACTATGGCATGCAGGGTCCCTCTAGGTTTTGCAATTGCCATGGGGATAGCTGAGTGCCCAGTCTTCACCCAGCCACACCTTCACTCTCTTCCTCCTCCTCCTCCTCCCACTACCTCAAATTCCTTTTTCAGCATTGCCTCTCCAGTGAGATCCAGCTTCCCTAAAAGACAAGAGAAGGCACGCCAGCAGCTCCCTTTTTCTGCGTGGAGGCTGGATGGAGGGAAATGTGAAAGGCCTTTCTAACACCTTAAAATTGGAGAAGGGAGCAGGAGGCAGAAAAACGTTGAGAATGCAATGCAAATTAGGAAAATAAATCATCCTGCTGCAGACTGTGATGCCAATGACAGGGCGTGCGGAGAGGCAGCGGAGCCTGGGGAGTAAAGGCTTGGGATCTTGGTTCTCCTTGCTGTCCATGTGGCCCGGCCTCAGTTCCCTCATAAATAAAACGACGGCAGGAACACTACCTGTCTGGCGGCGAGGAGGGTGCAATGAGTCAATGCACACTCAGCACTCAGAGCAGTGATTGGGTGCCTTGAGCACTCACTCCTTGTTAGCTGCTGTTACTACAACAGCTCTAGCCTCCCTGATGGACCTCACCTCATCGCTCATCCTCTGAGCATTTACAGCGCCAACCATGTCCGTCTCTCCTCAGGACTAACAATAACTTCGCTTCCACAGCCAATAAGAAGAAAGGAAGGGAGAGGGGACAGGTTGGAAAACTCCTTGTGTGCTAAGTGCGCTGATAGAAGGCGTGGGTTCCGGTCTCTGCCTGCTCCAAATGGCTGCTCCAACGAGGAGAAGAAGCTGTTCCAGCTGTGATGATGTCCCTCGCACAGTGATTGCAGGAATCTACGGGAAGGGCAGTGGGACATCTTGTTTGCAGATGGCGCTCGTCATCCTCAGAGGTGTGTGCTTTTCCAGTGGGAAGAGGACTGGACCAGCCGTCTTCCCCAGCGCTTCGGCTGGTTTCATCCCTCAACTCTCTAAGGGACCTTTCCTCACAGATGGCCTCTGAATTACCTCCTACCTGCCATCCTCTCTTACAGTTTCTTGCTGTCTATGATTTGTCTCTGTTCCATTTAGTTATGGATCCTGGGTGTCTTTGTTTAGTGTCTTCTGGCCCAGTAGATGACATGGCTCCAGAGGGCAGGGATTACATGTTTTATTGATTAAGCTTTGAATCTGTTAAATGAGGGAGGTAAGGCTGCTTTTGCCTCACTGAGCTGTGAAATTAAAAAAAAAAAAAGTTAATACATATGAAGCTTCCTTATTAATCATAAAACATGATGTAAATATTGCTATGCTCAGTACCATGTCTGTGAGGGTACATCGCAAGCTGAATACCTGTGAAATGTGCTCCTGGACAGATTAACATGATGTTAAATGAGGTAACAGAGGAAAGTACTTAGAAGGGAATGTACACCGTGATAGCTCTTACTGTTGGAAGTCAAAGATGGCAGTCCCAACCTCTGAAAACATCACATTCGCTTATTCCACCCATAGTAGATTTGAAATGGTTTAATAAGAGCACGCCTGTGGCTAAACACACATGACAGCAAGTAACCCAGTGTCCATAAATTTTGTGCACTAAGCAGGGGGGTGGGGGGGGGTGTTGAGGTTTTACAAGTTAGTTCTCAACTAAGATGGTCCTTTTTTTTTTTTACATATTTTTTAATTGATTTTTTTACAGAGGAAGGGAGAGAGATAGAGAGCTAGAAACGTCGATGAGAGAGAAACATCTACCAGCTGCCTCTTGCACACCCCCTACCGGGGACGTGCCCACAACCAATGTACATGCCCTTGACCAGAATCAAACCTGGGACCTTTCAGTCCGCAGACTGACGCTCTACCACTGAGCCAAACCAGTTTCGGCTAAGATGGTCCTTTTCTACCATGAAGCAAAGATGGTGAGTAGGGCCCCTTCCTCTCCCCATGGCAGAGATACTGCAGAGAGAGGGGAGCTGTTTCCAGAACAAAGGCAGCTGCTGCTAGAAATCCACAGAGAGCAACTGGGCCGAGCATGAATCTCCTCAGTTCGAACGGCGCACAGACGTGTGCAGCATCACCTTCGGAACAGCGGGAGCTGGGCAGGAGGGATGTTGTTGATGAACACATAGTCTTGGGCTGAGGCTCTTCTGCTTTTGATGGACCAGCCAGGAAGTGAGAAATGATCCATCCCCATGGGCAGTGTGGTGCCCGAATCCCAGAGGCCAGGAACCTAAAGACCAAATGGTGTTAAATTAGAAAGAAATTGACCAGTTTGGACCAGAACAGACACATTTTGCTGCATGAGGCCATTCTTCGGCTTTGCCCTATTTATTGGAGAGGCAGAATAAGGAGTTGGCACCCTAAAACCACACTGCATATTCCTTGTTGGTTGGTGTGCATAATTATGGTTTAATTAACTACTTAGTAAGATGCCCGGAGTTTGTGTGCATGTTTTGTGGCGTTTTTGGCTCTCCAAGGACCCCAGATTCCCTGTGGTTGGCAGAAAGCCCAGTTTTCCCCTACCAGTGGTCGGCAAACTCATTGGTCAACAGAACCAAATAACAACAGTACAACAATTGGAATTTCTTTTGAGAGCCAAATTTTTAAAACTTAAGCTTCTTCTAAGGTCACTTCTTCAAAACAGACTCACCTAGGCTGTGGTATTTTGTGGAAGAGCCACGCTCAAGGGGCCAAAGAGCCGCATGTGGCTCTTGAGCCACAGTTTGCCGACCACGGTCCTAGACCCTCAGCACAGGCCCTCCTGAGGGTTACTCACTGTCTCTATACAACTGTGGCTGCCTTGGGTAGAAACAAAGGTGAGCAGTGAGTCCGGGAGAGGTCAGGTAACAGGAAAAGATAGGCTAGGTTAAGGTGACCAGACGTCCCACTTTTGGCGGGACAGTCCAGATTTTTAACAATTTGTCCCGCGTCCTTTTTTAAAAGTCCCGAATCGGGACTGTCCCGCCAAAAGCGGGGCGTCTGGTCACCTTAGGCTAGGTAAAGGTCAAAGGGACTAGAAGTAGGTCCCGGGAGCGGGTGGAAAGGTGGACTGAACTACTCCATCTACAAGCAGACAAGGCCTCGTCACAGATGCGCACCAAGATATAGGAACAACGACCAAGGTCGCCTACATGGGATAAACAAAGGCCACCCAAGGCCAGACACAGGAGGAGATGGGGTGGCCACACATCCCAAGGGGGTGAGAATAGGAGGAGGAAGGATACAAATCTGTAGTAAGCTTTTTTTTTTTTTTTTTTTAAACCCTCTTTGGGGAAATAATGATTGCCACGAGCATAGTTCTTTGATCTTAGCCCCAAAAGAGTGGGGTTAACTTCACTCTCTGTCACGGGACTCCACAGACGGGGCTTCTCTGGGGCCAGGGACTGTAGGTGCCCCCATGCCCCACGGACTTCCTGTTCCAGCTCCATTTTTCCCAGTCAGACTCCACCTGCTGTGAGAAACGTGCTGGGAGAGAGGTAGTTCAGGGCACATTGGAAGGGGGCAATAGAGGTAGGGAGGAGGGGGATCAGAAGCTGGAGGAGCCAGGGAAGGCCTGCTAGGGAGACCTGTTGCTGATGTGAGAGAGAACCCTGAGCAGGCTGCGGGTGGAGTGCACCCGTGCTTCCGGGCCTTGGACAATAAGGCAGCCTGGGGAGGGCCTGGGGCAGGGCGAACGCAGACTCCAGAGGCCGAGGGTAAGGAAGGTGAGTACATCATCTAACCTCACCGTTTGGCCACAGGCGGACTCTGCTCTTTAGGGACAGGTAGAACCTTTACTCAGAGAAAAGTCACCTTTTGGCACCGGGAGGAAAGTGCTCTCACCCTCATGACACCCCCAACAGAGGTAAATATGAGAGGAGTCTCGTGAAAGGAAACAGCATTAAAACAGATCCCTGAAAGCGAAAGCAGAGCCTGGGAGCACGAGCTCGGAGTCTGTGGCCTGGGAGGTGGAGGCGAGCGAGCTCTGCAGAGGAGACAGGGGGAGCTTTGTGCCCCGGCCGGCCAGGCGCCCGGCCTCCTATCTGTGCTGTGCGTCCTGGGAACATGCAGGGACTCCTCCTGGCCACCTTCCTCCTGTCAGCCCCGGCACAGGTGAGTCCTCTCTCCTCCCTCCTTCCCTCGGGAGTCTGGAGCAGCTTATAATTTTTTCCGTTTAAAAATCTGGGAGGAAGACGATGGGGGAGGAAGAGAGGATGGATTCCTTGTGGAACTACCTCTTGAGAAATAGGGAGCCATTTTCCTCCCCAAATAAAGTGCTGTTTCAGTTTATGAGGGGAAAGAAGGGGAAAGCATTTTTTCCCCCTCTCAGGTGATGGCATTTCACCCAACGTTCGATATGTTTGAACAGCTTCACGACTTTGGTAACGTATATGTTTTTATTGGAGCCCAGCACACGGCGTGCCCTGGGGAAGCCGCAGCCCTACCTGGCGGGGGAATGAAGGCGCTTCTTCATGTGGGCGCCAGGCTGGAGCTCAGCTATCCGCAGTTGCGTGCAACACGAACAAAGAGCCACTGGAAAATATGATGTTTGACCACTTTCGGTGAAGCCTGTTCTGGTTTGAAAGGAGCGCTTTTGGAAGAAACATGTATATTTTGAAAACACGGCTTTGTCTTTTCCCGACCCATGTGTCTCTCACTTGTCACGAAAGGGAAGCCGTCCATGGAGACTCTGGAACTTTTCAAGCAACAGACCAAAGGGAAGTTTAATTTAACATGACCGACTCATTGCCTTGGCATTTTTTAATAAGAATATTAAAACAGGGTGAATTACTTGTGGATTTGTTTACATGGTGAATGTTTTTTTGCTTGCACGAAAGAACAGGGTTTTGGAAATCTGGGGATTTAGCAAAATATCTTAGATTTGACCATCTTTCAGTCTAAATATAAGTGAGGTTATACAGTATTTGTCTTTCTGTGTGTACCTTATTTCACAAAGAGGATGTCCTTCGTGTCCATCCATGATGCTGCAAATGGCAGGATTTCTTTTTTCTTTAAAGGCTGAGTTACATTGCATTTTATGTATATCGACATCTTCTGTATCTACTCATGCATGAATGGACATTTAGGTTGTTTCCATAGATTGGCTATTGTGAATAATGCTACAATGAACATGGAAGCACAGAGTACAGCTATCTCTTTGAGATCCTGATTTCAATATTTTTGGATAAATACCCAGAGTGAAATTGCTAGAGCACACAGAAGTCCAATTTTTAATTGTTTGAAGATTCTTCATATTGTTTTCCATAATGGCTGTACCAATTTACATTCCCACCAACAGTATACCAGGGTTTTCTTTTCTCCATATACTTACCAACACGTATCTTTTTATTTATTTATTTATTTATTTACTTACTTATTTATGTAGTAGTCATCCTAACAGGTGTGAGATGATATCTTGGTGTGATTTTTATTTGCATTTCTCTGATAATTAGCAATGTTGAGTACATTTTCATGTATTGATGGCCCTTTGTACGTCTTCTGTGTAGAAATGTCTATTCAGGTCCTTTGCCAATTTTTTAATTGTTTTATTATTTTTGCCATTGAGTTGTATGAGCTCTTGATCTATGATATTTTGGATATTAACCCCTTATTAGATATATAGTTTGCAAATATTTTTTCCATTTCTTTCATTTGTTGATTATTTCCTTTGCTGTATAGAACTTTTTAGTTTTATGCAATCCCACTTATTTATTTATTTATTTATTTATTTATTTAATATATTTTATTGATTTTTTACAGAGAGGAAGAGAGAGGGATAGAGAGTTAGAAACATCGATGAGAGAGAATCATGTACCTTGCCTGCAACCAAGGTACATGCCTTTGACCAGAATTGAACCTGGGACCTTGCAGTCCGCAGTCCGACGCTCTATCCACTGAGCCAAACCGGTTTCAGCAACCCCACTTTATTTTTGCCTTTTCTTAAAAAAAAAAAAATAATAAAAGAACAATTCTTCTGGGTGGAGAAGATAGAGGACAAAAGGAGAAGCAAGCAGATTACAAGACTATTATAGTCATCTAAGAGTGAAAAATAATGATGGTTTGGATTACTAAGGTAGCAATAGGGTTATTAAGAAATAGAGTGGGTGTATTTTGAAGATATAACCAACATGTTATACTAATGGGATTGGAACTAAAATGTGAGAGAAAAGTCAAGAATGACCTGACTCCAAGGGATTTTGGAAAAATGAAATTAGCATTTGCTCAAACAGGGATGTGTGGGTAGAGTAGATTGGAAGGGGAAATTGGGAGCTAGTTTTGGTCGTGTTAAATTTGCTATATCCACCAAATATCTAAGTGGAGATCTGGTTAGTAGGTAGTTTGAGTCTGAGGTCAGAAGAGAAGTCTAGGTGGGAGGTAAGAGATACAGAGGGAGAAGATAGGTCTTACCCACAGGGGTGGCAACGTTTAGAAATGAAGAGGATGAGAAGAAACAAGCAAAGGAGACTGAGAAGAAGCCATCAGTGAGCAAGGAGGAGCAAGAAAGTGATGTGTTGGGAGCTGAGTGAAGAACAGTTTAAGCTGAGCGTGACTGTGTCAAATACTGGTAGATATTATTGTCACTCAGCACCCTGTCTTCTATCAATTTGGGGGAAATCTATTTCTATGAAACCTCTGACATCAGTTTGAGAAATCACTTCTAACATCACCTTTATTATCATATGAAGTTCTGCTGCAGGGCACAGGGCCCCGGGCCATTAGAGGTGACTCGTGAAGGAAGGCCTGGCGAAACAGAAGTGCAGCATCGGAAACAGGTCTGTCACTGGCCCTGCAGATGTCCTCAGAAGGCCAGCTGCCCCCCTGGAGTGAGCCTAGTGAGGGATGGCTGTGGATGCTGTAAGATCTGTGCCAAGCAACCAGGGGACGTCTGCAATGAAGCCGAGCTCTGCGATCCGCACAAAGGATTGTACTGTGACTACTCAGCAGACAGGCCGAGGTACGAGACCGGAGTGTGCGCATGTAAGTGTCTTCTGGACCTGCTGGGAGAAGTAGAGTCTAAACAGGATATGTTTCCTGCAACGGCTAATTTGGAATAATCAGCTTAGTTTGGCTAACTATAAGGCGGCTTTAATTTTCACACACTAAGGGGACTGGCTTTGTCGTATTAGACACCGTGTGAAATTAACAAATGTTTACACACGTTCAGAAACCTGTTATTTTAATTGCATTTAAAGTGATCTCACAGTTCTTCTCAAAATAATTGCTTTTAATGATTAAAATATAAGAAATTGAGTCTGATTTCTTAAAGTGCCACAAAAACAGCAACATTTGTTAATATTGTCAAAAGCAATCTGAATTCAGCCTCTTCTATAAATGGAAAGTAATCTTGCTTAAAACGTGAGGATGTATACCTAGTATTCAGACATACTGCTTTAATCTCAGCCTTTACAACTAACCATCAAGTTATTGTACTTTTTACTGGAGAGAGAGAGAGATAGAGAGAGAGAGACTGACTTTTACCCCAAAGCACAACTTGACCCTCAGCTTTCTGGGTCTTAGCTCTGGAGTCTGATGAGACCATCTAAACCTACATCTTGACAGTAATTCAGGATGGTGATTTAGATACTTAGGATTAAGGAATCAGATTTGTAAGGGAAGAGAAATATCTATGTTATCTGGGCAATTTAGTCACTCTATAGAAAAGCTCAAGTGGGAAGCAAATTACTCCTAGAAGTTTGGTCATGAGCATGTAATAAGAGCACATCTTTGGAGGTGGAATGAATGTGTAGACCCATGCTGGTCTGATAGCCTGATTCTCCTGTCGGCACTACTATATTATATTGGTTAAGGTGTAGGCTCTGGGTTTAAATTCTAGGCTCTATCTGCTGGGTGACCTTGATCATGTTGTTTAACCTCTCTGTGCTTCAGTTATTAATACAATACATTATATTACCTCCTATCTCATAGACTTGCTAGGAAGATCTAATGAAAACAAAGGACATAAAACCCCAAATACCTAGCCCAATATCTGGTATGCAATAGACTCTAAAAAGCATTAGTTATTATTCATGGAAACTTGACAGAGAAACCATGACCTATCAGACTCTGGCATTCAAGACATGCCTTCCTTCCAAACAGTGCTGGGGAACAAACAGTGACCAGCAACTGGGGACATAACAGGCGGTTAGAAAAGATACAAGCCATTCCCTCACAGAGTCAAAGTATATTGTGTCAGACGGATCTTTTAACACAGCTTAGACACAAAGTTGATGGCGGTGTCATCTATAACTGGGCTTACAAACTATGGCTCCGTGACCAACTCATGGCCCTCCCCTGATTTTATACAGAATGTTTTGCTGGAGCTCAGCCACACCTACTCAGTTACATGGAGTTTATGGCTGCTTTCCAATGGCAGGAGCAGTCATGGTGACAGAGGCTGCATAGTCTATAAAGACTAAGATAGTTATGATTTGGACCTTTACAGAAAATTTGCTGGTCGATGATATGGATAAATATCTTTAAAACTTTTTGGTCCAAGGGCCCCTTGATTTATGAGGACTGAAAGAGCTTTTGTTTGAGTTATCTCTGTTGGCATTTAATAGATTAGAAATTTAAAAATATTTGCTAATTTGTTTTAAAATAACAAAATATAAACTCATAGGAATAATATATAAGCTATGAAAATTTTATTTTCTAAAACAGAAAAATAGAGTGAGAAGAATGGGATTGTTTTACATTTTTGCAAATTTAGTGGATAGTTTAACAGAAGATAGCTAGATTCTCCCATCTGTTTCTACTTTCAATCTATTGCTATGTGATGTTTTGATTGAAATATATGAAGGGAATCCAGCTTCACACAGATGTATTATTGGAAAGGGAAGGAATATTTTAACAGACTTTTCAGATAATTGTGACTATTATTTTTTATATTATATTAACACTTGAGAAGTGGTAGTTTCTTAAAAATTAGCTGCATCATGAAGTCTAAAACAATACCATTGAATCACATCAACGTCAAACTCTGTGACATTAAAATACATTGTTCCATCCAAAACCTACTTGGAATGGATCTTTTTCTCATGCATAATTTATACTGTGCTTTGGTTATTTGGGAAATAGTTTGGAACAATGGGTTATGTAGAAGTTCCAAATGATACACATAATTATATAATATTTTTTAAAATCACATTAATTAATCCTAATTCTGTCAGAAAGTCTATATATTGAGTAGCTATAAGGATCTTAGAGGTGGGTATGAGTTTTCCAAAATTCTAATTTTTGCTTGAAAGCTTGAATTCTGTCATTGGCAATAAGTACTGTCAGTTGTTTTGCTTGAAGTTATTGTATAATCTCACTTGGTTGATTTTCAAGAAAATGTCAGCCAAATGCCCAGTCTGAATAAGCATGGCTTACCTGTCAGTCACTCAGATGAAATTCCCACAAAAAAACATGGGTAGTTTGGCCCACAACTCAAACAGCAGCACAGGTACTTCCCTTAAGAGAACTGTTGTACTTCGGTGATACCTACAGAGATGTTCTGATATTCTTCCCACTCTGTCACAAGGAGTGCTAAAAATATTTATTTGATGGTTAAGGTTTAATAAAATGTTTATTTTTTTACTGTGTCATTAAGGACATTCTTAAGTAAAACTAGCTTTTCTGTTAAAGTACATTTATATACAAGTACACAGCAAGGAAAATACAGTGGTTAACCTGTACAGTTTGATTCATGCTAAGATGCCAACAGCAGTGTTAGCCACCCACCATTGCTTTTGTATCATCAGTACAAATACCAACACAGTGACAGCAGTTTCTGACCTGCAGATTCCCTGATAGGGCCTCAGGCCCTGCCAAGGAGTCCGTGGCCACACTCCCAAACTGCTGACCCAGGTCAGGAATTCTGCTCAGAGGAAGTGAAAGTTTCCTCTAGTTCTCTTAAGACGAACATCAGTTACCATGCAGTACTGTAGTTGAACAGATTATATTGTATTTTTTTTAGCCATTCACATCTTAACTTACTAAGAATATATCCTACCTATTGTTGGCCATCTGGGGAAACCTCAGTCTCACCAGCCTTCAGCCCATCTCTCAAATTTACAATCTTTATCTCACTGCTGTACTCCAAGAGACTCTTTATTTACCATACCCTACACCCATGGTCGGCAAATTGCGGCTCGCGAGCCACATGCAGCTCTTTGGCCCCTTGAGTATGGCTCTTCCACAAAATACCACGTCCTGGTCAAGTCTGTTTTGAAGAAGTGGCGTTAGAAGAAGTTTAAGTTTAAACAATTTGGCTCTCAAAAGAAATTTCAATCATTGTACTGCTGATATTTGGCTCTGTTGACTAATGAGTTTGCCTACCACTGCCCTAGATCAAGGGCCTGTGCCTGGGTCTGGGTTCCGGAAGTGACCATTGAGGTTGCTAGCCTATGTAATGCTAATGTCTCATTTTCTCCTTCTCCAGATGTTCTGTGCAGGAGGTTCCAGATGGGGCCTAAGAAATTGAGAATGGCACTTTGTTAAGGAGATATGTTTCCTCTGTGGCATAGACTGGGAGGGCTAGGCTATCAGTGATGGCTTCTTTGGCGATTCTGCTTTTTTCTCTTTTCAGACCTTGTGGCTGTGGGATGCGAGTTCAACAGGGTACATTATCCTAATGGCCAAGTGTTTCAGCCCAGCCCCCTGTTTAGCTGCCTCTGTGTGAGTGGGGCCATTGGATGCACCCCTTTGTTCATCCCAAAGCTGGCTAACAGTCACTGCTCTGGGGCGAAAGGTGGAAAGAAGTCTGATCAACCAAACTGTGGCCTGGGACCATTACAGCAGCAGCTCTCAACAGCCTACAAAACAATGCCAGGTGCTCATAAGTGAACTGGTTTTCATGTCTGACTTCTTGTGGTTTATTTCATGTTCCTTTTATGCACCATAGGTGCTCCCTAGGCTCTTCCTGACTGGTGGTCAGTGTGAGATTTAGTCTGAGTTCCATCTTACTCTGTTTCAGGAAGGTATAGTCTAAGTTTCTGAAAAGGAAACTTGGTAATGTTTTCATTTTCCCCCCAGTAAAATATTTGTTTTTAGAAACCCTAGTAGGTCAAGAAACTCTTCTTCTGCTTATTTCCACTCAATCTCTTCTCAGGAGGATTGACCAAATGTAATTCATGTATTCCCTGGAAAAACTTTTATCTGAATTGTTATACCATGGGCAAGAAGTGTGAACCATCCAGAATAAAAGCAGAAATGGAAAGCTACTGCTTAAAAATATTTGAGGATATGCTTTGAATTTATAAGTATTATTTCTAGAAATAGAAAACTGCTGATATAAACTTATCCTAGGCATTCTTAAGTAGGCTGCCCAGGTACGTATGTATTGATAGTCAGGAACATGTAATGAGATTCTTTGTTTCTCTTGAACACCTGGCCATTTAGTCAGTTTGCTCATAAACTTTGTATTCTGGACTGCTCTGAGTTAGCGTTTTATGTCAAAGCCAGGGTGTTTTGGGGACAGGAGTTTAAAGAACGTCAGCATATGAAGCACAGATAAGGAGGGCCTTACTGTAAAAAGTGCAAAGCTGATGCCTTATTATTCACATCTGTGTTTTCATCCAGAAATCAATGCCTTTTTCTTGAAATATAGAGCTTAGGGAACGAACGGAGCCAAGGAATTGCAGAATACTTACGCTGAAAACTCCCAAGTTCACTTATATCATGTGAAATGAGTTTTAGAAATTGAAAAGCCCTATGAAAAGGCCATCCTCAGGGATTCCAATTATGCAATTAAACTTGAAAAAAATTTAACAGGCTCTAGTGAATTTGCGTTTACCATGCATAGTTATTCAGCTAACAGCATGCCACTACTATTTTTAATACTCTAAAAATGTAAGCCAAATTATTATTTTTTTCAAGAAGTACAAGAACAGTTGGTTTACTGCATTGAATCTGAGTGAGTCAATATAAGTCCGTAGAATCTCTTCGGTGAAAGAGAACTTTAGAGAAGTAGTTTGCCACAAGTGGAGACATTTGGATATAGTTCAAGTTGGTCTCATTTGTAGCGTGAGAGCAGTTTCAGTAGATTTACTTGGTACCTGGTTGGAGGTATCAGATGGTGATTGATGCTTTGATGCAACAGCAAAACCAAACCAGACCCTGAAAAAAATCTCTCTGGTAACTCAGGGTTGGACCTACATGTTTCAAAGGAAGTATATATTTAATCTAATATCTCTCCTTTGCTTAACTGTGAAACTATACTTATGGGCCCAAACAAGAGTTTGGCTTTTAAAATTAAGCACAGTGATAAATGTTTACTTTAAGATATATTTGTGATAGTAATTTACATACATAGTTAATGCCAAATGGTTAGAATCTAGCTTTTGCTTGGTCAGTACAAAGCATGCAATGACATAATGCCCCCCTGCTTTTCTTACTGCTCTCCAACTCTAAACTTTGACTTTAAAAATCTCTTCTTGCTTTTTAAGGAATGTCAAGAAAATTCCTGAACTGCAGCTCTTGGCTTAACTTTAAGTGGAGTTTATATTAGAAATACAATAATCTAACCTACCTTTATGTATTGCAGATGCGTGCCAGGCTTTTTTTTTATTATTCTTTAAAAAAATTTATTGATTTTTTACACAGAGGAAGGGAGATAGTTAGAGACATCTATGTGAGAGAGACATCGATCAGCTGCCTCCTACATAAACTCAGCACAACTTTTCACATCTTATTTTTCTTCAGTATCCACCAGGGCACTGTACTTATCCTCTGGCACAGGAACGTTCAGGGCATTAAACTTCTCACTGCGCCAAGACCGGTTTGGCTCAGAGGATAGAGTGTCAGCCTGCGGATGAAAAGTCCCAGGTTTGATTCTGGTCAAAGGGCATGTACCTTGGTTGCGGACACATCCCCAGGAGGAGGTGTGCAAGAGGCAGCTGATAGGTGACTCTTGCTCATTGTTGTTTCTAGCTCTCTATCCCTCTCTTCCTCTCTGTAAAAAAATCAATAAAATATATTAAAACAAATAGTGTAAATAAAAAAATAAAAATAAAAAATAAACTTCTCACTGTCATCTACTAAGCCGGCCTTGGCTACATTGGCCTTGCAGTAAGCCCAGTTGATTGCAGGCAGTTTCTCAGGGAGAGTAGCCATCCTGGAGTGAGGGTCTCATTCCAGGATTTCAGGGTGTTGGCAATGGTTTTCTGGTTTTGGGGTCTGATTTCCCCCAAAGCTACCCAGTCAATGGTTTTTAGAGCAAGTTTTTGCCCAGCCATCTTGAAATCCTTCACCAACCCCAGAGGCCCAGTTACAGAGCAAGTAATGGGAAGTGTGGACTAAAAGACTTGATTTGGGGAATAAGGAATGATAATTAGACCATAAGTTTATTTTATTGTTATTTTATATAAAAATAAAGGTCAGATCTATTAACTATTACTAGCTTAAAATGATTACAAAATTATATATCTACATTAGTACATATACATGTATACACATGTACTTTCTCCTTTATTTTAGCTTATAGGAATCTCCCACTTATTTGGAAAAGAAAATGTCTTATTCAAGCTACAAAGTGGACGCCTTGCTCCAGAACATGCGGGATGGGAATTTCTAACAGGGTAACCAATGAAAATAACAAGTGCCAACTCAGAACAGAGAGAAGACTGTGCTATATTCAGCCTTGTGACAGTAATATATTAAAGACAGTAAAGGTAAAGTTTAATTAGACTTAACTTCATTATAATTTAATATTAAGATTCCTGAAAAGTGTGTGCAAATATGTGTGTTTTGAAGGGATGGATGGTGTTTGGTTCTCCTAAAAATAAAATCACTTTAGTATGACTATTAAAAGTCAAGCTGTCTCAGTGGAAAGCAGATATCACTCTAACTGCACTTTGTGGGGGGAATTTTATATCAAGCAAAGGCAATATTAATCTATTAGAAACTCTTTCAGCTTATAGTGTGGATCATGGTCAGCCTGAACTGCTGTGGTACCCCACCAATATGTGGTATTTTTTTAAAAAAATATATATATATTTTATTGATTTTGTACAGAGAGGAAGGGAGAGAGATAGAGAGTTAGAAACATCGATGAGAGAGTCATCGATCAGCTGCCTCTTGCACACCCCCTACTGGGGATATGCCTGCAACTAAGGTACATGCCCTTGACCGGAATTGAACCCAGGTCCCTTCAGTCCCCAAGCCGACGCTCTATCCATTGAGCCAACCCGATTTCGGCATATGTGGTATTTTTTGAGTATACTATCAAATTTTAAAAATGACTTCTTAATGTTATGTATATTTTTAGATCCCCAAAGGAAAAACATGCCAACCTACTTTCCAACTCTTCAAAGCTGAAAAATTCATCCTCTCTGGATGTTCAAGCACCCAGAGTTATAAACCCACTTTCTGTGGAATATGCATGGATAAGAGATGCTGTGTTCCTAATAAGTCTAAGATGATTACCATTCAATTTGATTGCCCAAATGAAGGGTCATTTAAATGGAAGATGCTGTGGATCACATCTTGTGTATGTCAGAGAAACTGCAGAGATTCGGGAGATGTATTTTCTGAGCTCAAGATTCTCTAACGGCCAAGCACATGGGGGAAAAACTCAAGGTTAGTCAATCATGTCATTACATCAAAACATTAGAATGGTTTTAAAAAGGTGGCAAAATGACCTTATTGGTTTAAAATAGTAAGAATGCCTATTTTTTTTTAAAAAATGCCTATTCTCAGAAGACTGTATTTAAGCATTAGGAGCTTTTAAAAAGGTTCTGCTACAAAGATATGTAGAATTTGAAAGTCTTAAAATTGAACTTACTTTAAAATGTATCTCATAATTATAGAATACACAGATACTTTGTTCCACCTACACTTTCCATATATAATGGAAAAACTACAGTTTAAAAGAAAATATTTCATTCTATAAAATAACCTGGAATACTTTGTTGAAGATGTGTAAAATACTTATTAAAAATTTAAAACTTTACCTGCACTTCAACAGTGTAGCCTAGGTTCCACTCAGATGGTAAGCAAGATTCTAGATTTTCTTAAATAGGAGTAAAGTTAAACTATAAAAAAATTTATAATTTCCACTGCACTATTCTGAATATCAGTTTATTAAGATTTCTTTGGGAAAGAGAAAAATGGAATTTCATTGCCTACTGTTGACAAATGTAATAAAGTTTTTATACCAAATACTATAAAAAACAAAATTTCCAAGATAAAGACCAAAAACAGTATCCTTACTTTGAAAATGAAAGGAATTTTAAAAATGTAACACTAAAGAAAGCACACAAAAAATTATTTTGGCTTGAAAATAATTTATTCCTCAACATTACTTTCTGAAATGATAAATCCCCATATGGCTTTGAAATATGAATTGTGATTAAAGATAAATAAATGTTAAATATTTCAACTGGAAATGATAGTAACTGGAATACTTTCTCTAGACTATGATGGCCATTTACTATAAAGTTTGAAAGAAGACAAGCTTTGTAATGTTTGTACATTGACAAGCAAAACAATGATAACAAGTGGCACTGTTAAAAAAGATGGACATTTATTATTTCAAAATCAGCTAGTTTGATAAAAAAGCATTATATTTAAAAAGAATTTAATACAAATAGATGTTAAAATAAATGTAAACTCTGACTCTTTTGAGTGCAAACAAGGTTATCCAAAGAAGAAACCAAAACTCAACAGATGTCATAAAATCTTTCCCTGAGGTTAGTGGATGTTACACAGAAATATTTATATTGTGGTTTCAACTGCCTGTACTTATTTTTAAAAAATTATTAGAATTTGAACAGAATAGAAAACATAAATTATAAATAAATATAAAAATATATCTGTATAAGATTTGTAACTAAGACATGATTCTTATTGTATAAATACCTAATTATGAGTATAAATAAAGTAAAATACTAAAGGACTGCATTCTCTCAATTTTAGAAAAAGGGAATTTTCTGAGGACAATGTCTGAAGTTAAGGTACTAGCACTTACTAATTTCACACACTGGCCTTATCAATGGTGATTAAACAGAACTACTCTTGCAGACAAAAATACTCCCTAATAGGAAAACTATAAAAAAGAAAATATTTTGGGAAAGAGAAAAATATTTTTCTGAGGACAATGTCTGAAGTTAAGGTACTAGCACTTACTAATTTCACACACTGGCATTATCAATGGTGATTAAACAGAACTACTCTTGCAGACAAAAATACTCCCTAATAGGAAAAACAAAAACTGGGCTTTCTGAATTACAAAAGTTCTGAAAAAGCAAGGTAAGATTAAAGGAAAAGAAAAAGCATTTTTGGGTCTGTTTTACACAGCGACTCTCAGTCTGGGTAAGTCTTCCATGGGCATGCTTTTTGTGGCATCCAGTTGGCTGTATTCCTGGATGAGAGCTGATAAAGACGACACCGCTTCTGAGAAACAGCTTTCCTCCATCCCTTCAATTTGCAGGTAGTGGTGAAGATGAGCCTATAAATTAAAAAAAAACGAATAATGTTGACTATTTTCAGGAAATGTGATAATATAACTATCCTATAATGTAAACATTCTATATGAAAATGATAGTTCACTCAGATTTACAAGAGAAATGAGAACTATAAATTCATGAGATTTCTCATTTAGATGGTCTTAGTTAGCCTCTATCTTCAGTTATAATCAGTGCAATAAATATAGGAGACAGAATCACCCTGATTTGTAATAGTACAATTCTTGAGAATACATCACAAATACCCAAAATAAACACACATAATTATAAAAATGTGCCAATAATTACCTTTTTCTTGTAGAGCCTCATGAATCTCTCTCTCAGTTCCATGAAGGTAGGCTTCACACATGTGTTATTTGCTAAAGCTAATAATGAATGGGAATGGCCCACAGGAGGAACTGAGCACAGGCTGGTCTTCCAGCCTTCTTGATTCCAGGAGACAAACTGTAGAGAAGGTTTTAATCTGAGATACAAAGACTCAAGGTAAGAATTAAATGTTTGTTGTATTACAGCAGCTCACATTAGGTAAACATTACTGCATTACTGATGGTATCATTAGTTTATAATGTAAGTTATCTATTTTTTACTATTAGCAGTATTGTGGTACAGTCTGACCGTGAACTAAGAAACATTTAGTAGGAGGACATAAGTTGTGTGGCGATTCATAAAGCTAGAAAAACATTCCTTAGAAATCTAGGAATGAAGAACAGTAGAAATCTGGGGATGAAGATAAATAGAAGTATTATAAATTTCTTTACTTTGTAATTCAACAGAGCAATTTTCTGAAAGATAGACTGAGAATAAATAGCAAAACAAACTTAGAAGCAGTGTAGTGGTAGTAGTGGTAGTAATAAACACAGTAACAATAGTTAAATTTTTTGAACACTCAGGAAATATATCACTTGGTACTTAAAAATAATTTTGTACAATTGTTATTCTTATTCTTCATTTGAGGAAAATAAGGCTCAGAGAGGCTAAGCAGTTTGCTCAAGGTCATGCTTTACTTAAATGGCTAGAGCTTGGAGAGACTATCCTAATTATTATGCTACACTGTCACAGCAGTACACATAACAACGTATTCTGAAAAAATACAAAACCAACCTTTCAATATTTCTGCGAAGATCTGAAATCTGGACATTTCCTCTAACCATGAGGGCACAGGCAAGGTAGAGACTGTGTTTGGGGTCGGCCTGAATTAGCTGGTGATCTTTGCTAAAAGCATCTGAAAACATTTGATCCAATCTAGAACAATAAGAGTCACTGTTACACAAAATATTACATCTTTCTTCTATGTATAACTATAAAATGAAAAGACAGTCATCTGTAGGTAAAACTTTACATGCAAATAAGTCTCTGCTATAATTTTCTCAAAGCAGTCTTTTACAGAATATGAGCACAGAGGAAATAACATAAAATGTTGTTTGTTTGTTTTTTTAAATAAAAAGCTTCTACAATATATTGGTGGTTTTAGGTTTCTACAAATGTTAACTATATCATTAGTGAGCTCTATGAAATGCTGATTTTGGGAACTTGTGTCATTATTACTTATTTCAGTACTAGAGGCCCGGTGCACAAATTCATGCATAGGTTGGGTCTGGCCGGCCCACCCAGATGGGGGCTAATCAGCTTCAGGAGGTTGGCAGGCCGGCACCACCTCTGATTGGGGTCAGGGGCCAACCCAGGCCTCTATTAGGCCGGTTGGCTGCTGCAGTGTGCATCATAGCAACCAGTTGTTCTGGTCATTCCAGTCGCTTGGCTTTTATATATATAGGTACTACTCGCATAGTACCAGAACTATCAAAACTAATTAAAAGCTTACAACAGTAAGAGAAAATGACTTTGTCTCTTTAAAATTAACATAAATCAGGAATAATCATGAGAAAACTATCGAAGACAATGTTAGGCTCCCCTATAAAACATGAAACTCCGTAGTAGTGTTCCTGAAGAGGGAGAATTTTAAGTGAATGGAAAAAAAATATATATATATATACGATATATATATATATTATTTCAGAGAGAAAGGGAGAGGAAAAAAGATAGAAACATCAATGGTGAGATAATCATTGATCAGCTGCCTCCTGCACACCCTCTACTGGGGATGTGCCTGCAACCAAAGTACATGACCTTGACAAGAACCAAACCTGGGACCCTTGAGTCCGCTGGCCGATGCTCTGTCTCAGTGTTTCCCAACCTTCTCTCATGATGAGAATCACCTGGTGGAGTTGTTAAAACACAGATTCCTGAATCCCAACTAAGAAGTGCTAAACTAGAATTTTTGAGAACATATAGGTAAAATTGTATACTTAACTAGTGCTCTAAGACAGATTTTATATACAGAGCACTAAGTTAGGTATGCAATTTTACCTATATGTTCTCAAAAATTCTAGTTTAGCACTTCTTAGTTGGGATTCAGGAATCTGTGTTTTAACAACTCCACCAGGTGATTCTCATCATGAGAGAAGGTTGGGAAACACTGCTCTATCTACTGGTTAGAGCAATACTGACATTTTAAAAAGCAATAATTTCTAAATAAAGAAGCATTCAAAAAATGGCCACCATCAACTATATTTTATATATTTCTCAGGAAGAAATAGTTAATATAAATGTTTCTCTTAAAAATATATTTTTAAAGGTAACTAAAATTCTCAAGTCAGTGGAATAAAGTTACTACAGCTTACCTTCGAGAAGGAATGTTAACATCTGCCAATGTATACAGAGGTGTTAGGCTTGACACAAGATAATGCAGTTGAGGAAAAGGTACTAAATTCATGCTGATTTCATTAAGGTCCATATTAAGGGATCCTTCAAATCTTGCAGAGCTAAAAATTATATTAAAGCATGAGAAAAAAGTTTAATTTTATATACTTTAAGTGTATCTTGATTTACTTAACAAGCATTTTCTTAAATTCTCTCAATACCCTGTTCTTCAGTAGAGAATATATACTCTTTTCCCCCTGTATTAGCAAAGTTCAGTATCATGAATATGATGTATAAAGATAACTAAAATATAACTCAACCTCTATAGCAATTCTTATTTCTGGCTTATCTGAGCTATAACCAACACCTTATTATTACAGTTGCTCATTACATATGTATATAAAAATACCTTACTTAAAACAGTCTTTAGATTGAGTTAAACACGTTAGTTAATATTTATTTATCTGTAATCTTTACTAAATTACTCAGGTGTTTGCTTAAGCTTTATGCTTTAGAATATAATAAGGACAAAGCAATCTTTTAGATTAAAGTCAAGGAAATATTTTAGATCAGCTAATGAGAATATATAGATCAGCTGGTTTTAAAGATTAAAACATTCTATATATAGCAAAAAAAAAGTTTGCTTTTGTCTGAACAAGAGTTTCTCAAATGTATTTACCACAAAAACTTTTATTATTTTAGCATCTATTAATATTCCATGTAATATACCTAGGGAAATGCTCCTTTGGAGCCATAGAAATTAAAATTCTGGTTCTTCACTCAAAGACTTGAAATCACTAGACAAAATAAAGTAAAAACATAAGAAGCTTCGACAACTTAGAAAGCTAAAAAATGCTTTTCCAAGTACAGCCGAGTTTTGAAGTTTTGAAACTGTCCTTCGGTACAGCACCACAGGATTACCTTGTTAGGTTGAGCAGCAAATTTGCCACAATGTTGTTCATCGCATCAAAGGGCTTTTCCTGCCGCTGTTTAAAAGCCCCCACACTTGAAGTAACCAGACTCTTTGGCTTTACAGCTGTACCCAACTTTCCAGAATTCACCACAAGGTCAATTTTGCTAATGATGTCAAATAAGGACTTTGAAGAGAAAAATATTGAGAGAGAAGTTACTAGGAAGAGTGGACATGCATAGCATTCTATCAGGAAAAAAAGAAGAGAAAGAAAGCAAATTAAACTTTTCTCTTAGTTGGAAAGGCTGAAAAGTAAAGAATGTTTCATCTAAGCATAACAGAGGAATGACTGCATATGCAATATGTACATAAATTACAATGTCGTTTCTTACTTGGTTGTCAATGGGCAACACACAGTCTGCGTGCTCATTAAGTTCCTTCATTGCTAAGATGCTATTGTAAGGTGAAGTTATGACATCATCCTCACCAGAAGGATAAATTGAAGTCACAAATCTGTATACTTCTGGGAATTCATCTTCAAGTACTTTTAAAAGAAATGTGCCAAGTCCAGATCCTGTTCCTGAGGATGAAATTTCAAAAAGTAAACAAATAACACAAATGATTAAGAATATAAATGTGAGGAACTTGGAATTCTATGGTGTTTCTTTTTTGGTGGAAATATATTTAAGAACTTTTAAACTTATTCCTATGATTATATATTAACTCATCTAATTTCAGATAAGGAGAATAATACTACATGGGTATTGAGGCTTCAAGTTCTGAATTCAATGTCTGGCCTTTACACAAACATACTTTTAAGAGGCATATAAAATATCTGGAAGGATGACATTGGCAAATTAATTACCTATAAAGAGAGATACTAGTGATTGAATGTGGAAAAGGAGACCTTCATTTTTAACCTTCAGTATTATTTAAATTATTTTTGTCATTTTCAGTGAATTATAATCTTCTGAGATTTTGAAGGTATCATAATGAACTATAAATCAAACTGTGTTTTTTTAACTTACATGTTAATTATACTATCACAAAGAAAATTTGTTTCTTAATTTAATGATGTGCTATAGACATGTTTACATAGTAATTATGACTTTAATTTAAAAATCATAGGTATGTTTAACCTACTGAATAGATATGTTTAAACTGAATAGAAAATCTTAATTTTAGATTGGAGAAAAAAAAAACGCTGCAAATTTTTCTTTTAAAATTTGGATAATCCTAGAATGAAATTAGCAGATTATGATCTGTTTCTATTTCATAAATAGGGAAGCAAAATAATTCACTTGCAAGATAGACTCTCCTGGGGAAGGAGAGCAATGCAAACCACTTATTGTAGGTCAAGGTAATTGATTACCACTTGAGAAATGTATTAGAGGAGTTGACTAAAATTATTTCTTTTACTTCTTATTGAACAAAATGAAGGTGTTAAGGTGGTTAGAGAAAGGATTGATTCTGATAGTGTGTGTGTGTGTGTGTGTATGGGTATTTTTATCCTCACCCAAGGATATGTTTGATTTTGGATAGAGTGGAAAGAGTGGAGGAAGACAAGGAGGGAGAAAGAGAAAGACAGATAGACAGAGGCACACATCATTGATTGGTTGCCTCCCATATGTTTCCAGACAGGGATTGAACCTGAAACTTAGGTATATGCCCTGACCAGGAATCGAGCCACCTGGCTAGAATGGATTCTGATATTCTTTTACAAGCATACCTGTGAACATGCCAGAAATACTTAGCTTTAGTTAGGATAAGGGAATGCACAAGTAAACTCTTAGGAGAAGTCAGCATTCCCCCAAAGCTCATATATAATAAAATGTAACTGGAAATGTAGTAGAAGAAACTCAAGGTAGAAGAAAAAAATTTCAGATTCCATTCTATAGACTCTTTTTGTCCTAATGACTCTTAAAAAAAATAATTTTTTAATGGCAATACTTTGATAAACATTAAGATAAAAACTTGTTATGTATATACATTCATAAACACACACTCTCTTAATTGTTCTCTCTTTATCAAGCATAGGACTGAAAATAAAACTCATGTTTGCAAATAAATTCCCAGTTGCATTTTCACATTATTACAGGTAAATGAATGAATAACTTTACCTCCTCCCATGGAATGTATTATAAAAAAACACTGCAAACAATCACAGTGCTCTGCTGACTTCCTGAGTTTCTCTAAAATCTGTTCTTGATAAAGACTGCCAAAAACTTTGTGCCCTACAGCCCTGGAAAAAAAAAAAAAAGATTAAAAAACATTTCTTACATTTATTATCGATATTACAAGATTTTTATTTCTGATCTAAATGAAATTATAGAAAACTTGAAGAAGTATTTTTACCAGATTAAGAAATCCTATTCCTGTTTCATATCCTATCTAATAGAAGAGTAATATGCAAATTGACCATCACTCCAACACACAAGATGGCTGTCCCCATGTGGACACAGATGGCCACCACAAGATGGCCAGCAGGGGAGGGCAATTGGGAGGGACCAGGCCTGCAAATGAGGGCATTTGGGGGCAATCAAGCCTGCAGGGGAGGGCAGTTAGGAGTGACCAGGCCAGCAGAGGAGGGAAGTTGGGGGCGACCGGGCCTGCAGGGAAGGGCAGTTGGGGGAACCCGGACCTGCAGGGGAGAGTAGTTGGGGGGACCAGGTGTTCAGGGGAGGGCAGTTAGGGATGACAAGGCCTGCAGGGGAGGGCAGTTGTGGCGATCAAGACAGCAGTGAGGACAGTTGGGAACAATCAGACCAGCAAGGGAATGCAGTTAGGAGCAATCGGGTAGGCAGGGGAGCAGTTAGGTATCAATCAGGTTAGCAGGGGAGTGGTTAGAGGGTGATCAGGCTGGCAGGCATAAGTGGTTAGGGGCAATCAGGAATGTAGACAGGTGAGCAGTTTCCAGATTGGAGAGGGTGAAGGCTGGGCTGAAGATCACATCTCTCTCCCCTGTGCACAAATTCCGTGCACTGGGCCTCTAGTCAATAAATATGGTATCTCAATGAGAGTAGGTAGAAAATTTAGTAAATATATATTTATAATCCTCAGATATCCTGATAAGAAAGCTCATTATCAATGGAAATTAACCTGTCAACCGGGGAGTTCCCTTTTTAATCAACCTGTAACGGGCGTGTACTCTTTCACTAGGACGTGTCAGTACGTCACGCCCGGAGGACGTAATTTCATATTATTTTTTTTATTTATACTTAATGAAAATAAATGAAATATATATATATTTTCGTTTATTTATATATATAAAGCACAAAGGAAAATACAAAGTTACAAAAAAAATAGAAAATACCGACAAAAGAAAATGGACACGTCGAATTAAAAAATTATAAATTTTACAAACAATGATAAAGATTACAAAAAATAGCCGAAACCGGTTTGGCTCAGTGGATAGAGCCTTGGCCTTCGGACCTAAAGGTCTCGGGTTTGATTCCGGTCAAGGGCATGTACCTTGGTTGCCGGCACATCCCCAGTGGGGGGTGTGCAAGAGGCAGCTGATCGATGTTTCTCTCTCATCTCATCGATATTTCTAACTCTCTATCCCTCCCCTTTCCTTCCTCTCTGTAAAAAATCAATAAAATATTTAAAAAAAAAAAAGATTACAAAAAATATATACAGTCCCTCTTGGGACGCAACATATATTTCAAGGACCAGTTCCTGATATTGTTTACGTTTGATGTATTTATAGGTCCCACTCGGTTAACAGGTTAAACTATGGTGTTCCTCTCTTATTTTTGCTTAAGGTATAATTACAACAAAACAAGATTTTAAGTAAACTCCAATTGCAGAGAATTTTACATATTTAAAAAGCAGAATGTAGTCAACTGGAAAGACAAAAAGTTTAAAGCTATTTTGTTTAAAATATGAGAAAAACATTGGTCACGTTATTACTAGAAGAAATACACACAGTAAAAACTGATATTCATGAGGATCTGTAAGCCTTTTTACCTGTCCAAATTTGCAAGTTCACTATGAACAGGATTTCCCAGCAACCGGTAGTCAGGTGTATTTACTTAGTGACTGATTCTCTCAAAATGACTCTCCCAAAACACAAGATTCAAATTCATGCTTTAGTGAAAGTATACATCACTACACTTCGTGAACCTGAGGGACTGACTGCAAATATTTAAAATAAACAATAGACTTGCAAATAATTAAATGATCGTTGTTAGAGCTGCTGTTTTCCCATTAAGGAGAAGCAACCATTGTACTTTAAGGGCCAAACAGAGCCTTAGGCTGAACTTGAATACTGGAACAGTGGCCTGGCTTGAATCTCTGTATCAATTCTATTGCAGAACTTGATAGAACCAAATACCATATGTAAGAGAGCAGTTTATAACAATACTTAAAATTTTTGTCACTATTTAGTATTCAAGAATCAATTTACAATGAGGAATTTAGTAAATCAATTTTTCATGAATCATGTCTTTCTTTAAAAAGATGAGAAAGAATAATTTCCAAAAAGTATGAAACACCATTATTTATCAAGGAAAAGATGATGAGGGAAAGGCCTAGAGTTAGGCCTAGAGCATGTTCTATTTTGATTTCATGTAGGCAAGACCTATTAGAACGAAGAAAAGATTGCTCTTTTTTTTTCTGAAGACATTTCCATTTTAATGGTTGGCATATTCTCACCAATTATTTCCTGAGCCAGAAATATCAGTGATGAGCTGCTTGCTATCAAATACATCTCTCAAAGGTCCCTGCAGAATTTCATTGACGACCCCTTCCTCCATGTCAATCAAGACAGCCTGAGGAGAAATTGAATTAACATATTTTTCTTTATTGTCACTCTGTAAGTGAAAAATAACTTATGAGCTAAAAGTTGCCTGTTCTTGTAATTTAAGCTTAATCAGATCTCTATTTGAATCTTTATGTAGACTCTGATATAAGAATTAAAAAATAATTTCACTCTGCTTGAAAGGTGAAATCCAATAAAAGATGGATTCTAAACTCTTACCCTATTCCAAATTACCAAGTGGAGGAAAAAAATTTTGAATAATCCTCTCAACTGATGTTTTAACTATTTTTTTATTCGTGTGCTTATGTGACTGTAAATTTCTTGAGAACAAGATCTCAGAAGTCTAGAAGGTAACCTTACTAGAAAAAAATTTTCAATGTAAGGTGCATTAATGCATTTGTGTGCTAGGAACAACGAAACTGCTCTTTGTGAATCGCAGCCAGAAATTGTCAATTCAAGGTATAAATTTACTATAATGTGCAAAGCCAAGCACTAGGTAGATGTCAAAGATGACAACGCTCTCTCCCTAAGTAACTCACAATCTAATTCATTACCACAAACTTTTCTGACAGGGGAGATAACCTCTATTACTAAGAAAACCAGAATAAAAAACTCATAAAATTAGTTATGAAGAGAAACAGAGAAGACTAGAAGGAAATGTAGCAAAATTTATAGCCAAAGGAAATATAGCAGGGATAGGTTGGCAGTAGGATTATATATCCCCTACTCCTGCTGTCTCGTGCTTTAGTTCCCATATTTCCCACAGTGAGGAAAAAGAGGAAAAAAGTTAAATAAATAGAGCAAAGCTGAAAAAAATATTGTGAAATAACCTTAGGGTACACTATAAAGCTATTAACTTTTTGATTCAGTGTCATAGAAGGGTTTTTAAGTGCTTGTGATCATGTCATGTTAAGCACGTACTACATATGCCACTGTTCTAAGAGCTTATATATAACACCTCATTAAATCATCACAATACACCAAGAAACTGAGGCCTGGGAAAGTTGCCTAACTTGGCTATGATCACTGAGCTAGTAAGTGGTAGAGCTGAGATTCAAATCTGGATAGCCTGGGTGTAGAATACTGACTCTTAATCACCAAATTATATGCTCTACCATTTTACTGAGGGAGAAGTCACGTTTGATATTTATAGAGTACTGACTCCAGTGGAATTGCAATTTGTGAATTCAATTATTTATGTAGTTAATTAACTATGCTATTGTAAACTGGCAATTAAAATAGTATTAAGAATCCAAATGTAGCCAAAACCAGTTTGGCTCAGTAGACAGAGCGTCGGCCTGCGGACTGGAGGGTCCCAGGTTCGATTCCGGTCAAGGGCACGTACCTTGGTTGCGGGCACATCCCCATTGCGGGGTGTGCAGGAGGCAGGCAGCTGGTCGATGTTTCTCTCTCATCGACGTTTCTCACTCTCTGTCCCTCTCAGTTCCTCTCTGTGTAAAATCAATAAAATATATTTTAAAAAAATTATAAAAAAAGAAAAATCCAAATGTATATAACTTACCCGTGCTTTTAAAGAACAGATTTTCCCCTTGGGAATGCTGCCACCATCACCAGCCACTCTGAAAGATGGAAAAAAAAAAAAAAAAAAAAAAATCTTTCATGGCTATTAGTGCTATCAGGTAATAAAGTTAACTTCCATTTATATAATAAAGCTACTCATAGGCCAGAGGAGATGACAGTATAGCTATGTGAAGTCACCTTATTCAGAGGGACTAGCTCCCAGGCTGAGTCTCAACTATGTGACATTCAATGAAGGGACTGGCCACCAAGAACAGAGGGGGTGGGAGTTGGAATTTAGTAGAAGCATCTGAAAGGAAGTATTACAACAGCAAATTTGAGTCTTTTAATAGGATTTAGGGGAGAGGATGTTTAGTTTACAGATAAGAGGGAATCTAGTCCATGATAGATATTTCCATGTAATGAAGGTAAATGACACCAGTTATGAGGGCAATACAGTGAACTACTCCTGGTTGCCATGGCCACTAAAAAAACTTCCATTACTTAACTAGTCTTAAGTTATAGTTTCTACTGCCAATTAACACACTGACTTTCCACTTTTAGTTTGGTGTATCTGTCTGTAGTGTTCAGCACTGGACTCATTCTAAACGTGTCCTCAAGGTTTCCAGGTTTGCTCGCCTGAGGGTCATGCTCTGGAATTCATCACGAAGGAGGTAACTGCCTCAAAACCCAACCAATTAATTCAAGTTAAAACTGGAATTTTCACGGAACTAGATTAAAACCCGATATGATGTACATATTTTTTCAGCTCAACCCCACCAGTTTGGCTTTAAGTGTTTTGAAAATGCATGAACTTAATAATTTAACATTAAAAGCTATGAATAAACCTTGAATGTCAAATTACTCTTTCAGATAAAAGGTGATCTGACTAAACCAAAGTAATTTGACAATTGCTCTTTCCCTCTCAGCACATTCTACTAGTGGAGCATATTCCTGACCACAGATAACATATCAGAAATGTACACAATATACTTCTCTTTCAAAAGATAAGCCATTACTGGACGCATTAACATGATACACTAAGAACAATTTTAGCAGTCCTTTAAGTGAAACTATATTTACAGGTCAAGTTTAGAAAAGGTATACTAATGGTCCTTTTTGTTGCTTAAGAGAAAACCCATTGTTCTGCTCGGAAGAGTGACACGAGAATAGTAATGTTATGAGAAACAAGCTTTTAATGAGGAAAACAAACAAAAAAAGCCAGACAAGTTATTTACAGTTATCAGCTGTTTGCACTGTCCCTTGAAGAACAGGAAGAGTAATCATTACCCTGTGATATGCATCGTCTCATCTTACCTGGTATCCACGTTTCTAAAGAAGCTGCTTATTGCCTCATCATAAATTCCTTTCTAAAAAGAAAGAACATATTGACAGCATTTCTTTAAGTTTTGCCTCTTTCCCAAAGCAAGTCCTTGCCATTTAATAACCCCACAATACCGTAATAGCTGGTAGGTGACTCTGAAAAGAAAAAGCAAGTTATCACAGGATGCTTAGATCGTCTTCCAATCCATAGAAGACAAAATGTCCTGAGATCTAGAAGTTAAGTCCGGGGAAGGATGGTGAAGTTCCCTAGGACCCTAGGATCAAGTGAGTGTTCTCTGAATTCTTGGTGATCATTTTAAAAGCTGACTGGTTAAATCAAGGAATAATTAATTTAACATGTTACCACTTTTATATTCTCTCTCTCTCTCTCTCTTTCGGCTCAGATCTCCTTCCAGGGTCCGGACCACCCTCCCAGGACTCACACCTATATCTGAGTCCTAGATCTTCACACCAGGGCTGGGAAGTCATCCCCGGCCCCGGACCTCGAACCCAGGATCCAGGGGGCCAGATGTCCATCTGTAGCCCACATCACCAGTCCACAACCTAGAGGTTCCAGGGCCCAGACCTCCTTTTGCACCCCGACCACTCTTCCGAGGATCCAGAGCTTCATGCCAGGGCCTACTCTATTAGGAGCCCAGACCTCGAACCCAGAATCTAGTTCTTTATCCTAGTCCAGACATCCACAGTAGTACAGACCACCATTCCATGACCCAGGGTCCAGTCCCTGACCCACACCTTCACCTGGGGCCCCGAGAGCCCTCCAGTGCCCAACCTCTCTCCAGGACCCAGACCTACATCCGGGTCCTATACCTTCTCGTCAGGGTCCAGAACCCAAACGGAGAATCCAGTCTTGTATCAGTGGGCTAGATCTTCATCCCCAGTCCAGACCACCAGTCCATAACTCACAGGTCCAGCCCAGGAGCCACACCTCCCCTGAGGGCCCAAACCATCCTCCCAGGACCCAGACCTATATCCTGGGCTCAGACCTACATCAAGTCCTAGACCTTCATGTCAGGGTCCGGAAGTCATCCCGGTGCTGGACCTCGAATTCAGTATCCAGTCCTTTATCGTAGTCCAGACATCCACAGTAGTCCAGACCACCATTCCATGACCCAGAGGTCCAGCCCCTGACCCCAGACCTCCACCAGGGGCCCAGACAGCCCTCCAGTGCCCAGACCTCTCTCCCTGGAGGCAGACCTACATCTGGGCATCAGACCTACATACAACCTAACTGGTCTTCACAAGAATCCTGATAAAAGATGAGACCCTGATTATTAGGGCACAGTGTTCGGTTTTGTAGTCTGTTATGTATCTAAGGCCAATATATGTTTACATATCAATTAGTTCTGTAGTTGGCTGTTTCCGGATAAGAACCCATATAACGCATATCGGTCAGATAAAAGCCCAATAGAGCAAACCCTGCTTCTCTGTTGGAGGAGCCTCGTTGACAGGAGAGGAGGTGGGGGGTTGGGGGGGATGTGAAGAGGGGTGCGGCCGGTACCTGGTTAACCGCTGCGTGCTCCCTGAGCGCCAGATCCCAAAAGCAGCAGCCGATCTGGTTTCCGCACTGCCCCACTGCGATCGGCGAGAGGGAGGAAAGAGGACCGACATTAGGCGGCGAGAGGGAGGAAAGAGGACAGACATCGGGCGGCGAGAGGAAGGAAAGAGGACAGACATCGGGCGGCGAGAGGGAGGAAAGAGGACAGACATCGGGAGGCGAGAGGAAGGAAAGAGGACAGACATCAGGCGGCTCCCAAGGCCGCTGGGCTCCGCGCCGCCCGGGCCCTCACCCGCCCGGCGCAGCTCACCCTGAACGACCACCGACTGGGTCATCCCGCGAAGCCTCCGGCCGGCCCCGCGCCCTCCGGCGCCCGCTCCGGCTTTCAAATTCCCCGCCCACCGAGGGGCGGGGCGGCCGTAAGTCACGCCGCCTCCGCACGTCGTTGCCGTGGCTGCCGTCGCGACGACGCACTTCTCTAGGTTTGGTCCCTAAGCATTTCCGTCAGAGGCCGCCAAGGACGCCTGCGTCTCCCTGTTACCATAGCGACTGTTACCACCCGGCCCGCTGATCCTCGCTGCCTTGTCAACATCCGTTAGCGTTGGCAGCGCCGGAGACCAGGGTAACGGGCGGGTGTTGGGCTGGGAGCGGGGGTTTTAAACCCGGGGCCCCGCACCTGTTGGCGGGCCCTGCTTAGAGGGGAGTCGTTCCGTGCGAGGGGGCGGGTCAATTTCCGTTTTTCGGATTCCTCGGCGCCGCGTTCGCGTCTCCGTCCCACAGTCCTTTGTTCTAATAGAAAATGAAGAATGTCGATGAGCACAAAGACACCTCAGACCCATTGGCGTGGCAAGATGGAGCAGGAGTTCTTCTCTGATACAGTGGCGCTCTGGAGACCCAACGTGGGCTGTTCGGAGCTCGAGGCTGCCAACGTTAAAGTCTAGGCTCTTTGGAGGGTTCCAAAGGAATTAAGATATATACACGCCCCTCTAATAACAAGAAAAACCAAAGAGGGTGGGTGGTTCGGGCCCTGGAGGGTGGGAGGGGGGCGGGGAGAGAGAGAGAGAGAGAGAGAGAGAGAGAGAGAATGTATAAGAGATAACGTGTGCCATTAATTATTCCTTGATTTAACCAGTCGGCTTTTAAAATGATCACCGAGAATTTAGACATCCCCAACTCTGAGAAACGTACACCCTAATGGAAGATACACACCGAAGGCTCAAGTTATTGTGACTTAAAATACTGTGAAGTGCTGACTATAAGCGCGTTCAGTGGATGACGGTGGAAATGAGTAGATAGAAGTCTGATGAAAGAGATGAAATGAAAACATCGGATTTATATGCAGTGTAGAGTTTATGATCTAAATATATGACAACAATAATAGGGTGGCCCAGCCGATGTGCTTCAAGTGGTTGAGCTTCAACTGTTGGATCCCGATTAGGGGGCACGTGCCAGGGGTGCAGGTTCAATCCCCAGCAGTGTAGGAGGCAGCGGAACAATGATCCTCGCTCATCATTGATGTTTTAATCTGTCTCTTCCTTCTCTGAAATCAATAAAATATATATTTTAAAAATAATAGGGTGGGAGAGAGGAAACGGAATATACTCTTGCAAGGTTCTGTTAGTATGTATGAAATGGTATAATGTTTTTTAAGGCAGACTAAAAAGTTAAAATATACACTGTAAACCCTAAAGTAATCAAAACTAAACCAAAGCAAAGCAAAACGCAAAGAGTGCATAGCAATAAACTAGTAATGAAGATAAAATAGATTCATAGAATATACTCAGTTGTTTTATAAGAACAGAATGACAAGAAAAACCAAAGAACTGATGACATAAATAGAATACAAATGGCAAGAGAACAATTTTAAATTCATATTTATCACCTTAAATGTGAATAATCAAAACTGATTAATCAAAAGTCAAAATAGATAAAAACAGCAAAGCTGAACTATATGTTCTTTATTTAAAAAGACAGTTTGATAGAAAGACTGAATAGGTTAAAAGTAAGATTGGAAAAGATACATAATACTAATGCTAATAAGTAAAAAAGTACCTTTATATATTTCAGACAAAACATATTTCAGAGTAAAGAATATTGCTATAAAGAAGGATATTTTATTTAAAAAGTTTTAATTCATCAATAGGACATAACACTACTAAATATTTAAAAACCTAATGGCAGAGCTTCAAAATATATAAACCAAAAACTGGCAGAATAGAAAGGAGAAACAGATAAAATTATTATTATGGTTGGAGATTTCATTATTTCAGTAGTTCATAAACAGGTATATAAGAAATCAGTAAGAACACAGACTTGAACAACTATATGAACCAACTAATTACCTATTTAGAACATTCTACTCAACAGCAGCAGAATATACATTCTTTTCAAGTGTACATGGAACATTTACCAGGTAGCAGTGAAATATATAACAAAAATAATAGAGTGTTTTCTGACCATAAACAAGTATCAATAAATTTTAAAATAATTAAAACCATACAAAAATGCTCTCTGACAACAATGAAATTTCAGAAATCATTAACAGAGAAATAGCTAGGATATTCCTAAATATTTGAAAACAAAATAATGTAATTCTAAATAACCCATAAGTCAAAGAAGGAACCAAGAAGAAACATTTTAACTGAAGGAAATGACAGTACAAAATTTCAAGACTTATGGAATGAAGGTAAACTAGTGCTTTGATGAAAATTTATAAAATTCAATGCTGATGTTAAGAAGGTAGGTCTCAAATCAATGATGTACGCTTTCATTTTAAGACATTAGGAAAAGAAAAACAAGCCCAAATTAAACAACAAAAGTAAATACTAAAGATTGGAATGAAAATCAAATAGAAAACAGAAAATTAATAGAGAAAAATCAGTGAAACCTAAATATGTTTCTTGAGAGATTAAAGTTCTTTTGTGGGCTTCCTTGCTCATAAAGTCTAAAATCTTTAACTTGGATTTATATCTCAGCATGGTTTAACTTCTACATATCTCTCTGATATATTTCTTAACTTTCTCTATTGTCTTTTTCAGATCTTCTTTTATCCTCTCTACTGCAGATGGCTTTTACATAAGCTATTTTCTTTGTTTTCCCTCTACCCAAGGGTCTCAATGTCTTTTCTTCTCACTAATTTCCATGTAGTTGGTGCCTATTTGTCTTTTAGATTTAGGTTTGAAATCCTAGTCCAGCACATACTCTGCCCTAACCTGTAAACTCCACTGTGTTTGCTTTTATCAATATTTTATTTTCAGCATTAAACACATGCCTGGCTGGTGAATTCTCAACAATTATCTGTTATATGAGTAAATGCCAATAATGGATCTATTTTCTTAGAATATGACTAGTTCAAATACCATTCCTTTTTTGAATATCATGAATCAGTATTCTGAGGCTCAAAAGATAGTTATTGTTGGGTTTATGAGGAGAGTATTTAGAGATTTCACCATCTTCTCTCCCCCAGTTCCTCCCCCCAATCATTTAGACTTCACTTACTCATTTCTTTGTGAAGATCTGCTGGAGAGTCAACTTCTCTTTGTCTTCTGGAAAGTTTTATGATTAAGGCTACTGTTTGGTTTGTTTCATGGTATCACCATGCTAAAAGAAGAAACTTGGTACAACTAGTTTATTTTACTAATAAACTAGTAAAAAAAAAAAAAGATAAATTAGAGGAATTAAAGACTACTCCACAGTAGAATATTCTACATAGAGACTTTACTTTGTAGGTTAAAGAAATATTGGTCCCCAAAAAGTGAAATCATGCCTCAACAATCCAATTTCAAGAACTATGCAAAGAGATGAGAGAACATGCTGATTTAATTTTTGTATCCCAGACATTGTCTTTACTATGTTAGACTTTTTTATTCCTCAAAACTAATTCTATATAAGGAATTAATACTATTTTACGGACAAACTTTTAGTGATTTGCTCAGTCTCAGAGTTAACATGGTCTTAAAATTCAAACCTAATTCTGATACCAAATCCATTATTTTTCCACTGTTGTCTTCACTAAAAAATGTAAATTATTACAAAATTTTTCCATCTTAAGGATCTGATGTTTAGGTCCTAATGACCTAACAATGGCCAGCAATTATTTCAATTTGTCTGTGACACATTCAGTTAAATAGTTTCTCTAAGCTAAAATTATGATCATTTACTCACTGATAGCACCCTAGTAAGAAAAAAAAGGTAGAGGTAAGATTTTTGTCTAACATCAACTTAATTATGTAAAATGTCAATTTCCTATAACATAATCATCTGAAAACAGAACAGTAGGAACTTAACATAAAATGTAGGTATTGAAAAATATTTTCATTAAATGCAAAATTGCTTGTAAACATTTAATAGTTCAGTCATCAGCCTATGAAAATTGAAAAAAAAAAAGGTTAACTGATGAGCAAAGTTCTGTCTTAAGGTTTAAACGTAATTATTACATTCAGCAAGATTACTGTTGATATAGAAATTGGGAGAGGAGGGAAGTCCAGAAGGTAAAGTTCAGCTTGTTGCTGGAGCTATGAATTGAGACATTTTATTCTTTAGCAGGTAGAAAGCTATGTAAAAGAATCTCTGATGTGATAATTTGTGGGTGTCACTGGGACAGTTGATTATCATTCCTCTGAAAAAATGTCATGAACAGAGGAGAAAACTTCAGGGTCCAGGGAACAGAATAGAGAGGACAGTACAAGATGTATTCTTCCTTTTTCAACTTCTGTTATTGCAATTATTTGGGAATTTCAAGCTCTTTTGATGATACAGAAAAGAAGAGGTAGTCCAGGCATTAGAGAGAGCTATAAAGAATCATCCAAGGTAAGAGCTAGAGAGACATTTGTAAAGGTGTAGTTTGAGGCCATTGGAGTGGGATGAGGATATAGGTAGATAGGATTTATAATTTGTGTTATTAGTTTAGGGAAAGTCTGGAAGATAAAGGTAGGGAAGAAAATGAGATAAAAAGTGACAAGAATAACATGAGATGTTGTGCAGATTGATTAGATGAACTAAAATAGGTATAGATATATTAACAGATTAAAATATTGTATATTTTTAGAAAATAAGGCAGTAATATTAAGAATAAACCTCCAAACAAACTTTAGAGACACTAAATTTTTAACTAAGGTCCACGTTGGTGGTGGAGCTATGAAATGTTATATTTTATTACTGAACAGGTAGGAAACTATGTAAAAGAATCTTCTGATGTCATAATTTCTGGGTGTCACTGGAACATTTGATCATCATTCCTTCGGCAATTCCAGGCTTCTATGGAAGGTCAGTAGAAGCAGTTGATTTATTCACCTCTACAGGAATCAGGCTCGGCCTATTTTGGTAAGTTTATGTATCCTTGACCAAGTTAGCTAAAACTTAATGTCTACATAAGATAGTTATACTAAACCATAGTGTTTTACTAATTTGTCATTGAGTATAAACTTTTTCTTTATAGTATTTGACACCCAGTATATAAA